ATCCCGAGGAATAGACACATTACTTGATAGTAAGACTCGATTAAATAAACTAAGAAATTTAGGACATCCGTTTTGGTCTACAAAACCTTTATGTTGGCTGACAAGTTCCCTTATTTAACATTAAAGATTAGATGGGGTTTATATTAAGTTGGGTTCCAAAGTTTCCTATAAGGGCAAGCCCCTATAGTTAATTATATCTTAAATAACCGAAGTCACTTAAGAAAACTCTCAATTTATATTCGATGTATTTTCTTTAGGATTTCAAAGTTTAGGGTTTTCAATGTCGGTTGAAGAAAATTTAAACGATAAAAGATTGAATAAGAACAGTTATATTTGAAATCCAAAGAGAGAAAACTATGGGATGTCACGAATCCTGATGAGAACCTCGGTGACTTTCCAAGCTATTTATGGTTTGGCTTCAATTTTGAGGAAATGTTATTAAATATTTCATCATGTCAATTTTATTATTCAAGGCTTACATTTGCATGATATTGATCATACAAATAGTTTAGGAAGATATGAGGGTTTATGTCATAACAAACGTCAACCTCAGAGCCTAAAGCAAGTTAGGGCTTAAATTACACAACATGACTATGCGAAGGCCTAAAGATAAGTTGAGAGTTTACGTCATACCAGATGAGCTATCTCAAAATCTTATGGCTTGTTAATTAATTCTAAGAAAAGGTTTGCTGACGATGACTCCATTTGCTCTCTCGAATTTATTCTACTGTATGTCCTCATAGTGCTGCCTATAGAGTTTGCTCCAAGCTCCAGGTTTAGTATTTTATGTCTTATGATTATTTTTCAATTATTATTAAAACTAGTAGGGGTATTTAATGTGAATGGACAAAGACTTAAACTCTACTTAGAAGGAGAAAGATTGTTCGTAATTATGATTTCAATGTTGGAATGTTAAACTAGGTGCTTATTGGAAGTCAACCCAAGTTTAAGTTTTCCGTTTGTTTGTGATTGTTGTTTGTTGTGGTGTGGATTGTTTAAATTTGTAAGTTTGTGTTTAAGTTTGTGAGTATTTTGATTTGATTAGGGTTGTGTGAATTAAGAGAGGTGAATCCTTAGTATTCTTGTTGATAACTATACTTTAGTATGTCTTATGATGGTAGAAAGATCAATTTAGTAATCTACATCTTAATTCTCAATCAAATTTAAGGACTTACAAGAGACATATTGAGTTTGGACATAGAACAGGTCCATCTCAATTCTTTACTTCCTGTTTCTAACCCTATGCCTCTATAATGTTGGTTCAATAAACCAGCAATTAGCGGGGCTTCTGGATGATCTTATTTTTGAACTAACAGAGGTGTATACTTTAATGGACAGTATAGTACTTAGAAGTTGGCAACACATAAGCTAGTAGTACGGGTGTTATCTGGACCTGAATATCCTTACAAAAAATGTGTAAGCACCCATTGGTCAATAGAAGAAGATTTCATTAACATTCTAACATCATCTTTTTACATTCTAACTCAATCGAGTTATATTGAACTAGTTTGACTTCATGTGCATAATATTTAATTAGTTTCTCTAATATTCTATCAACAATGGAACACAATTGTAAATAAATAATAAATAAATATATGTATATTATTAACTCTTATTGAGCTAATAATTCAATAGATATTTAATCACTTATGGTTTAATATTTTCTAGTGTTTTCATGAAAACAAATTCTACAAATATTTCTCTAATTTCAAAAAATCTTAATTTTAACACTACTTTTTTTCTTTTTTTTTTCATTCAAAAAAGAGATCATGTTAAGAAATTATGAGAAAATGCATTATCATGATGCTAATATAAGGAAATAGGTATAAACAAACTTATGAAAAATCATGGAAAAATCTTCTTCTTATTCTCTGAAAATGATAAAAGAAGAAGTAAATGAGAATGAGACGAGCAAAGATTTATATAAAGTTCCATTTATAAGTGAATTGCTAAGAACTTGTCTTGCAGTTATAGAAGTTAGTTGTACTTTGCTTCTCTTTACTTTGTTCATATAGGCAAAAAACTATGAAGAATTTTTTTCATCATGGTCATGTTTAAATGATTAGAAAAATATAAATAATTGAGCAGTTGATTTGCCAACTTATAGTGAAAAAAATTAGAATCATTTAAAGCAAGCCAAAGTGAAAAAAATGAAAACTTATTGATTTCAAACCATTATATTGCTCAAAGATTATAATAATTTAAGATTTTGTTATTCAGGGTTTAAGGAATACAATATCAACCTTATAAACTAAATTTAATTTAGAAAATCAATGATCAATAAGAAGATTGGAACATTCTAACTTTTTAAGAAACTACAAAGATTCATCTTGAGAATTTGATAAAGAGTCTTATAGTGTTAGCTAACCTTCTAAAACTTGTTTTTATTAGATTCAATAATGATATCATGTTAAATTTGAATATCTTGAAGAGTGAATTCATCATGTTTAAATAAAATATATATTTCTCACAAGCGTATCAATTTATTTGTGGTGGGGTGTTCAAATTTAAGTATTATATTTACCAAGGCGCTTACTCTCTAAGGAGCACTGTAGGAGATTTTTAATGCAATATTACATGTATTGTAAAGTGGATCCACTTCTTTTCTATTTTTCAACTTAAAGAATATTTTATTGAATACTAATCCTCATACTTAATTAGTTTATTTATTTAAAATACGAATCTTCTACTATTGATGTTATTATTACTATTTTATTATAATTATGTTACTTGCTATTTTCAAATCTCATATAATCAATTATAATTTAACAATTTTAACTTTTGCAAATGATTAGACATTGCTTCAAACTTCATTTTTTTAATATATTGCTCACAATTTAATCATTGTTATTATTTTTTCTTTGGCTTTAATTTTTAGCATTATCAAAGGACTTCCATTAGGACCAATAATTTTCCATTATCAAACATGAATGTTTTTCTTTGATCTCTTAATTTAAAGTCTAAGTAGTTAATAAGAGAATGTTATTTTCATGAAGATTACATGTTTGAGTTTCAAATGATAGTGAGAATCATAATGCAACAAAAAATAATTGAATTATAATTTCATAAGATTAATTTTGTCATGGGATACAAATTCCATGCTTTCAAAAGAGAAGTATTTTTTTTAATTTACTATTATAGCCTAGTACCTATGCAAATTTTACCAAATTTGTTGATGAGTATTAAAACATTTACCATCTAGTTAACTGAAAACTAGCTAAAGTGGCCAATATTTTTATTTTCTTTATTTTTATTTTTTTTAAAAAGTTAGAGATGAGTTAGCTCTTTTTCTTCAAATTGAGTGACATGATTGACAAATTCCATTTTTTTCTTATATGAGTGAAAGTCAGAGATCATGAATTTCATAGGAGGCTTTGGTTCTTCTATTTTAATTTTAATATATTAGTCATTTGGGGTTTTTACTTGCTCATCTCTTAGCTTGGCAAAATTAAGATGGAGAATCTTTTTCATTATCAAGGTAATAAGTTCCATCAATCCCATAGGTTAATAAAATTGCTCTTGAACTTGATTTTTTTTTTTTTTTTATAAACTCCTCCAAAATTTTTACTTTCCGAGTGCCTCTTGGGGCTCTTTTCTGAATTTTGTATGTATTTTAATATATTTTCTTCAATTTCATGTATCCATCTTTTTGTAATTAATTCATGTTTATCATTATTTATTGAATTCTCTTTATTTAATTTTTTTGCCTTGTCTATGCTTATCACACCTTAATCAGTACTGAATTAAGAATTCATTGAGAGGGAAAAGCGAATCTTATTAAGACGCTCAACAAGAAAAGGAATAAGAGATGAGAGAGAGAGAGAGAGAGAGAAAGAGTCTGTCATAAAAAAAAAAAGATTTTACTACAATATATATGATTATAATAAAGTGCATTTTTCTACTTCTCTTGAGTTTGGATTGGCGTTTGAGTGCCTCAACTAAGATAAATATTGAGCTATATTTATAAGAAGTACATGGAAAGACCTCTTGATTATTTACTACATAAGACATAAGGCATGTACTCAAATTTTATTGATATTTTGTTCTGAATAATTAAACTTGGATATTTAGTAACTGAGGCTACCAATTTTGTAGATGGAAGTTGCTAACATAACAGAAAATCGTTGACTTTAAGTAAGTCACCGACTTAAATTGATGAAGTCGCCATATTTTAACAGCAAATTGAATTGGTGAGAGCTCCTGAGCTTAAGCGAGTAAACCTGATTTAGGGTTACTACATATTGAGCAACACTCCTTAGACTACCTTGAAATGAATTAATGTATGGACTATGCATGACGAGTTCTTCCTGATCTTGAATTGTTTATTTTGATTCATTGTAGTACCTAATAATTCAGATAAGTTCAGGTTGCTCCTGATGAATTCATCATCTTTTACTATTTTACTCTGATGAAGTTTTCAGAGCCAATCTCACTTCACTTATTCACATACGCCGCATATCTGAAAATGCGGGCCACAGAATTGACTCACGTTCCCCATTTAATTTAAAAAATCATGTTTTCAGAGCCAATCTCACTTCACTTATTCAGATACGCCGCATATCTGAAAATGCGGGCCACATAATTGACTCACGTTCCCCATTTAATTTAAAAAATCAACTGCATTCCAGATAAACTGCTCTAACATAGTTTATAAACGGTGAGACGGTGTTTTCAAAACTCTCCCCAAACTTAGCCTAATCAAAAGGGTATTTGGAAATAAACCATACATGATACCTAAGTTTATTCATTTTTTATACATAATTATAAACGCATTAGTGATTTTTAAAGGATAATTTGCTCACAAATAAAATATTCGATCGTTAGATTTTAAGTAAAAGCAAACTTCATGAAAGCCAAAGCTCTCATAATTGGCAGCACGTCTTCAGGCTTGGCAGACATGCAACCACACCCTTTCTTTACATCCAATCATCTGTCTATATATACAACTCAAGCCAAAATCAAATTAATACAAACAAACATTACATCTCCCATTCAGTTACATGGCCTGCATCTCATCAAGAGCCTACGGCACGGTGGCCGCGCCACCCAACCCAACTGCTCTGCATAACCGCCGGCAATCACTCCGGCGCTGGTTCATCATTGGCTCCTCCACCATCCTCTTGCTCGCGGTAATCATCGTCTCCGCAGTCAGCATAAGCCATCAAAACTCGAGCAACTCCGGCGACACCGGAGCCGCACCAACCACCTTCTCCACCTCAGTCAAGGCGCTCTGCTCCTCCACCTTATACCCTGCTTCATGTCTGACTACACTGAACCCCATAACCAATACTTCTCAATCCATTGACCCAACCAAACTCTTCCGCTTCTCCGCCCAAGCAGCCATCACGGAGCTATCAAGCGCTGCAGTTCGCTTTAAAAATCTGAATTTCAGCGAAAAAACAGAGGGTGCTTATTCAACACAAGCACTTAACACCTGCACCGAGCTGATCGATCTTGCTCTCGACATGCTCAACAACTCCATCTCACTTTCTTCCACAAACCCAATCCCCGACGACCTCCGGTCCTGGATGAGCGCCGCTATCACATATCAGCAGACATGCATCGACGCTTTCGAAACTTCGCCTACATATTTAAAAGATACGGTTTTTACATTCCTGAAGAATTCTACTGAGTTAACGAGCAATAGCTTGGCTATTTTTAACCAAGTTTGCAGCTTTTTGGGCGGGGTAATGGATGCCGGCGGATTTCCGGATTGGGTGGGGCTGACGGACCGGAAGCTTTTGCAGAAGGCTTCAGGGGATCCGAGGGTAGCGGCGGACATGGTGGTGGCGAAGGATGGGTCGGGGAAGTACAAGACGATCAAGGCGGCGCTTGCGGACGTACCGGAGAAGAGTAAGAAGAGGACGGTGATATATGTGAAGAAGGGAGTGTATTACGAGAATGTTAGGGTGGAGAAGAACAAGTGGAATGTGATGATGGTTGGGGATGGGATGGGCGCTACCGTTATTTCCGGCAAGCTCAATTTCGTCGATGGGACTCCAACCTTCCAAACCGCAACATTCGGTACGATTAATTTTTACTAATTTACTGTTTTATTTTGTATTATAGTTTTTTGAAAAAATGATTAGAGATATAAATTATATATAAAGCGCACGGAAAAAATATTACATTAGCACTCTAGAACTTTGCAGGCAGAGCTCTTTGTGGAGTCCAATCTCGTACTGACATGTGGAAGATCGGGTTCAACTACATAAAATATGAAAAAAAAAATGAAAACGTCTTATAAGAATATTCCCTCGCGTTATTCTGTATATTTTCCACATTATTTTTGTGTTATTGGTGTATTATTGAGGTGATTTTGAGAATAACACATTAAAACACATGAATAACGAGAGAGTAATATTTTTTCCCTTTTATGGTAGTGTCTGTCATAAAAATGTTTTAATATGATTAGTACATAAATAATAACAGATTAAAAATTAAAAATATATTAAGATGTCTTTACTTTCATTAGTTTTAAATTATTATTTATTTCTATGAACTCATTATTTATAATTCTTAACTGAATTTTATTTTTATAATATATTCTTTGAAGAAAAAGGATTAATAGTTTTTCATATGATATGCTATTTATTTTCAAAAGCTATGAGTTTTTTAGCAAATATAATCATTCATTGCCTTTAATCTTAAAACAAATATAATTTTTTTAAAATCTATCTTAAACTAATTCTGATCATAATACGCTTCTCTTATGTATTTATATAAAAAAATGATATTATAAATGTAGGTGGAAACGATAAATTCTTGGGTGTAAACGAGTCGAACACGAGCGAGCTCGTTTATATTTTGAGCTCAAAAAGTGTGTTTGTATTCGTCTCGTTTGCTTAGCGAGCCGAACACGAGTCGCTCACGAACAAATAGTTATTTTTACAACCCTAATCACATAGCCATAAGATATTAAGGATTGAGACAAGATTTAAAACATCATCTGAATCTAATTTAATAAATTTTATTTTATTTTTTTAATAAATATTTTTAATTGATTATAAATTTTTGTAGCCTCATAGTCAATTAAATTTTATAAAAATACTACTATATTTATTGCTTATAAAACTTAGGCGAACGAGCCGAACACCTGCTTCTACATATTTGATGTCCTTCCTGCTATTGCCTGCAGCGGTGTTTGGAAAGGGCTTCATCGGTCGCGACATGTGCTTCAAGAACACCGCCGGACCATCAAAACACCAGGCCGTAGCAATGATGTCCGACTCCGACCAGTCCGCATTCTACCGCTGCCGCTTCGACGCCTACCAAGACACTCTCTACACCCACTCCCTCCGCCAATTCTACCGCAACTGCGAAATCTACGGCACCGTCGACTTCATCTTCGGCAACGCTGCAGCCGTCCTGCAAAATTGCAAAATCTTCCCTCGCCCACCTCTTCCCGGCCAGCAAGACACCATCACTGCTCAGGGAAAAGTTGATCCGAACCAAAACACGGGGATTTCTATACACCAATGTGCGATCCAGCCCTTGGGTGATCTTTTAGGCGTGAAGGTGTATTTGGGGCGGCCATGGAAGGCGTACTCCACCACTGTGTTTATGAAATCGTCGATTGACGGAGTGGTGGATCCGGCGGGGTGGTTGGCGTGGACGGGGAACTCGGCGCCGGATACTATTTTTTATGCGGAGCAGGGGAATTTTGGAGCTGGGGCGTCGACGAAGAACAGGGTGAAGTGGAAGGGATTTAGGGTTTTGGACGCGAAACAGGCGAGCAAGTTCACGACTAGGGATTTCATTGGCGGAGATTCGTGGATTGGGAAAGCAGACGTGCCTTTTCAATCTGGGCTTTAAGTTAACGGTGGGGATGTAATTTTTTCTTTTTTTTTTATTAATTTCTTTGGAGTCAATTAATTGTCTTCCGCAAATAAATTTATTTATTTATTTTATAGTTTATTATTTTAACATTGCAAAAATTTTTATTCTATACGATTGGAAAAAAAGGCATTACATAAATATAAGTATAATTCAACTCAGTGACATATCAATATGTAGTTAATTACATGTTTGAGTTTTTTTAAGTTAAACTTATTTCGAGTTGTTGCAGAGCAGTAGAGTAATTATTTAATGTTTTAGCAATGCACAAAGATCTAATATGCAAAGAGAATTAAAAATGGAAGGAGAAACATCAATTATTTAAGTGAGAAAATCCTAAAAGGGAAGATACCACAGGGTCAAAGTAATATGCTTAACTCATTTTTTTTTCACATAAGATTTGCACGCACACCACCCCTTGGTCTAACACAGCAAAATTGGTGAAAAAAACTAGAAGATACCACAGGGTCAAAGTAATATGTTTAACTCATTTTTTTTCACATAAGATTTGCACGCACATCACCTCTTGGTCTAACACAGCAAAATTGGTGAAAAAAACTAAACATGTCTTTTTTTGGCCTAGCATGGTTATTTTTCTCTGTTTTTTTTAGCCATCTCGGAGTCCCTAGCTTATTTATTTAAATGTCTTCGTATGATTCATTTATTCGGATAAGTCTCCCTTCGGAATCATATAAATAATTTGAAGATGAGCGGAAATAAATTTAAAGGCATACGACAAACAAATAGACAAACAATAAAAAGAAAAGAAATGGAAGGTTTACATATAGTTAATCCCCGTGTGATAGGATGAGAGTAAATGTCCAAACAAGATTGTACTACACATCATCTCTTAAGAGAATCCCTACATAAGCCACCCGTAACCGAGAATCAAAAAGAACATTTTTGTTCTGAGTCAAGAGCACTCCCGCGGAGATGTATCTCACTTGTTTAATTATATTCTAGGAGATATTCATGAATACTCTCAATAGAAGAGATTTCACTTTTGTTACCATGATCTTAGGGAAATATGAACACAAGGGTGGTTATTTCATATGGGAAAGTTCTGATGCTTCAAAGCTCATGTTAATCCATCAGATAAAGAGGGAATCTCACACATCCCTGAACGATAGTGACTCATCAGCATATGGAGCCTGCAAAATAACCAAAATCATTTTGATGGGGATATCCCTATGCATCAAAACACTTATGAGTCATAAGGGCAGAGGACAAATCGTCGTATCACAAACAGACGACAAGTTATCGGCTTCAAGCTGATAAGGTGATATCAGCTAAGTCAAAAGAGTAGACATAGCTCAATAGGGGTAGTCAAAGGATGGGAGGAGTAGTCCTAAAAGGTAAAGGTAGCTGGGTCATGGTACCATGAACTCTTCCTCCTAAGCTACTAGGACTCTAAGTCTACTCGGTAATGAAGGTAATCGACTCAACATGTCCTGAGATCCCTGGTCAGCAATCTATGAGTTGTGTCATCCACGGGAACCTCGATAACTCTAAGATTAGAGACAGAAAACTTTATCTTATGAATATAAGTTGGAGCTCTGAGAGGTGGGACTTACACCTGCCGAAGTGGCTAAGAAGCCTCAAGAAAGAAAGAGAAGTGGATGTTCAGCTTGGTTCAGCTACAAAGTTGAAAACACTTCAAACTAAAGGATTTGCACCCCGTTTGGGTCAGAGAGCCTTCTAACATCCTAAGGCCGCTAGGCAACCGTCAAAGTAGAAATCTATGTTGGGTCGGTCGAGTTGCAGAAGCACGGGGGGCTTCTCCTCAGGACATGCATATATTATATTGTTATCTACCACAATTCTAAATGTGGAGGCCCTATTAAACATGATTGGGGTGATATCCATGCTATGCGGCTCATTCTAAAACCAGTTTGAAGGCCATGCAGAAAATAAAAATAGGTTTTGAAATGTTCCGAATCTTTTAAACCTAAAACTTTGATTATCTTAATATTTTATTATTATGATTTTAAGTAGAAAATTTATAATGTTCAGGTCCTTAATGACCCTAATTATATTTTTCATGGAAATCTGAGATAACAAAAATAAACAATAGAGACAATTCAGGCATACAAACACTCAATAAAAGGAAGCATTATAAAAAATATATAGAAGAGGCCAAAACGCCACTGGTCGGAAAAATATCTCAAAAAAATAGGAAAAGCCGTTATACTCACATATACATGCTCGACTCGAAGTCTATACAAAAATATAGAAACTTTGGACTTAAGATATGAACACAAGCTGCCGCTCCTTGTCACCGTCACGTGCTTTGATTCTCCATCTACCTCAAAACCTGTGTCTGTGCATTATTCATAATACAGACTCGACTTAGGGACTCTATTAAATATAATGAAAATAAAAAAAAATTGAGTAGGAATCTGGTTCGATGCGTCATCCGCCTCGAAAAGAATGTTAGTGGTGCACATGAAGAAATTAATCAAAATAAGTATGAATGTGGTGATGGTTTAAATGAAAGAATTCTAAGTTCTTCCTCTAGCCACTCGTTCAATAATGCATTATAAGACGTGTATGTTATTTAACTTCTTTTATTAACTCTTTCATCTTCAATTTAAAGTTTCTCCTTTTGTTTAAACATCTATTTACTATTCTTACTCCTATTTTCAACAATGATAGTTTTTAATTGTACATTTAATTTTGATCATACTTTTATTTACTATTCTTATTTCTATTTTTAGTTGTGTTAGTTTGTAAATTGCACTTTCTATTTTGATCATACTTTTGTTTACTATTCTTACTTGTATTTTTAATAGTGATAGTTTGTAGATTGTCCTTTATCAAAATTCTAATCACTTTTATTTTCCTTACAGATAGTTTCATGATTTTCACATTATATTATGATTGTACTTTTGCTTATATTTATTTATGATATTCTCTTTTCTTATGTGCATTGATCAAATCATTTTTTTTTATGCTGATGGCTTTAGGTGGTGGTGATGATGATCTCTATCGTAACAAAAGATTCATCTAAAAGTTTATGAGAAGGAAGAGTGTACTTCCACATCACACCATACAAACGAGCACTATTGTGTTGATGAGTACCATGACCTTCAATACTTTTGCACAAACCTTCTCACTGATGTCATTACCACAACACCACACACCAATGGCTCTTGTTATACCACCACCTCCACCTACAATCCATGCAGGTCCAGGTCCTTTTACTTCTGTAGATCCAGATGCAACATGAGGCACGCAACACACATTTGACCTAGAACCTGCTAGAAATACGTGTAATGTAGATGGTAGAAAAGTAAAATTCTATTAGAGATTTTTTGTTATAACACTATTAATATCTTTTTTTACAAATTTATTCCATACACAGACTATTTATGCTATAAGAGAAATCATTCAGATTGATTCTAACGCTCCATACTTATCATGAAAGGAGATCACGATTGAAGTGTATGATATGTGGTTCAGAGAGTTTGAGGTAAACCCTAAACAATAATCTTAAGTTAATGAAATTTTATTAATATTTATATTCATTATGCATAAGCAATGCTCCTAGCAACTTAAACACCATCCACATAATAGGAAGAGCTTTGAGTCTAGAGTGTTTTCTCGTCTATGCAATATGTTTAATGAGATATACAAGATGGGTCAGCACCCTGAATGACTAAGGGACAATTCCAACATAGTTGCGCAGAATCTATGATGCTCCTAAATGTGTCAGTAGGTCAAACATAACAGGTGCTCAGATTGGGGCATGGGTGCCTCACTACACAGTGAAGGGTGATCCCACATATGGAGTACAAGAGAAGGATGATAAGAGTTATTTTGTGTGCTAAATCTTAGTGGATAATAATTATTTGCTAAATTTATTCTTATGTTAATAGATATTACAGCTTGGATGAGAGCCCAACGCCGTTAAGTTACATGCTTGTACACATTAACTTCAGTCAGATCATCATTGAGTTGACACTTGATCATAGAGTGCACATGAAGTAGCAAAAAAATTTTATGTCATCACAATTATTCTAAAATTTAATTTTACCTTTAACTATCCTTTAAAATTTTTTTATAGGAGTACGAGCGACTTAAGGAAAGTTCATTTCCTTGGTAGTGATTTTGATCAGTTGGATAATGATCTTTAGAAAGAAGTCATCGAGGTAAAGAAGAAAGCAAGGGTTTATGAGTTGGGCTAATAGTGACATGCACATGATGCACACTATTCTTTTTCTTTGCATAGCTATATATCTATGCAGGGCAATGAACTTTGCAGACAGGTTAAGACTTTCACCTATTATATATGAAGCATGAGATATTCCTAAAACTACTCGGATGGAGGTGAAAATTAAGATGGAATTAGAGGAGGTGTGATGTGAGGATTGTTAGAGAGAGAAACAACCAATGGAGGTGGATGAGAAGGAGGAGGGGGAGGGGGATGAAGAGACTGATGGTGAGTAGTTGTGTTGTTATTTAATTATTGTTCTGAGACATTTATGTACTCGCTACGTATTGATTATGTACTGATTATTTCAATTTATGTTGCCCAATACATTATGATTGCATTTATTTTCAATTTAAGATTTTATTTATATGGTTCTAGTTTAGTAGTTATGTTAATTAAATTATCTTGTGTGATGTATATTTTATGTGCTTTTGTGATAAGATTGCAGATGTGTAAATTGAGAAAATAAAAAAGTTCTTTTTTTTCACCTACAATTTTTTGATGGCCAACTAATGCCCTTCTAGTGGGTTATCATATCCCTAAAACAATAAGCAATGTCTGTAAAAAGATTAAACTGACGGCTAACCTATGACTCTCTATTGCTTTACTGATAGGTATGAACCTACGATTATGCCCCCGTTGAAAACCTATTTCAACATGCATTGGCCCGTTGGAAAACCATAAAAAAAAGTATCCTATCGAATAATTGCCATAAATTTTCTTTGCAACCATAAGAAAAGCAATAACTAAATGCCCATCGAAGAGTCTTCGAAAA